CCCAGCTATATTGCAAAGAATTGTTGGCAGAAACAAACATCAATGCAAATTGGAACATTTTAAAATGCAAAGTTCGCCATCTGAAGAGTACTTTGCAAAAAGCTGATGCATGGATTAATTGAACATGCGCTGGAGCTGAGGATAATGACAATACAACTACTGTGAAAGGTTAACTTAATAATCATTTTAGTGTAGACTTTTTACTACAATAGTTTTAAATTTTTTGTTTATGTGCAGACAAGGTAGTTAAAATATGTCCATATTACGAACAGCTTGTCGACATTTTTTCACCTTTAATGGAAATTGAATTTGTTGTAATGGACACATCGAACACATTGGACTGTACTCTTGATGCAACTGATTTGGAAGAAACCAGTGTTATATTGGATGATGAAACTATCCCCTTTGAAAACAAGGTTAAGTGTACAGCACGTCCTACTTGCATTGATAAGATCAGAGATATGGAAAGTGACCGGTTCAAATTTCGGAAAGAGCAAATACATAAGCTTAGAAATTGAAAAATTCGAGTTGACAAAAGAGATGGAAAAACAAAAATTAGAATCGGAAAGGCAGAAAGTTGAAAATGAGTTCAAACTCAAAAAATTAGAGTTAGAACAAAAAGAAAGAATTAAAGAATATTTTTTTTTTGTATATTTTATATATTATATAATTGTATTCCATTTAAAACTAATTCGATATATTACAAATTTTTAATAATAATATAAACATAAATGATAATCGTGCTGCGTATGTCCCTTTTGAAACATCGCTATGAAGAACTTATTTCAGTTTTAAGTTGTACAAAGATCAATTGGCGCTTTTCTTTCCAGTCTTGTGAATAGTTGAGAGTGTGTCATTAGATTTGAAGCCAAATTGTTTGAATTCGATCTAATACGATTAGCGTATGCGGCAGCGATGCTTTTCGCTTCCTCCTTAACTGGTGGTATATTAAGGAAACGATGAATTTGTGAATTTGTGATGTACCACAGAGCATTCGCTGTCATTCGCAGAGTCTTAGATTGGAATCTTTGTAATATTTCAATATTTCAATTTGAAGCTGTTCCCCACAGTTAAATGCCATATGACCAAACAGGTTTCAAAACACATTTGTGGAGAATGATTTTATTTTCCAGAGTATGAGAGGAGCGTTGGTTGAGCAACCAAGACATATTTCCTAATAGAATACCAAGTGTTTTCCTTTTGTTGAATATGTGCGTTTTCCACGTTAGACCTCTGTCTAGATGAATTTCGAGGTATTTTGAAGCAGTTGACTGTAGTACCACAGTCTTCTTAGTGTGAAAGTGACATGAGATGACTTTGACTCATTTGCTTTTATACGCCAACGCCGAAGCCAAACTGAAATGTCATCGAGACTGGCTTGTAGTATCAAAGAGGCAGTTTTTGGGTTTTTAGATGTAGCCAAGACTGTCGTGTCATCCGCAAATGTCCCAGTGAAGACACCAGTTCTTGCTAGTAAGTCATGCGTAAATATTAAATATAACAGTAGACCTAAGACGCTGTCTTGCGGTACTCCAGCTTTTATGCAGTGAAGTGATGAGATTTATAAAGAAGACCATCATGCCACACGCGATCAAATGCTTGTGAAATATTCAAGAACGCTGGCGAGCAATGTTCCTTTTGGTCAAACGCCAAGTGTATTTTTTCTACTATTCTGTGTACCTGTCCTATTGTGCTGTGATCTTGCCTGAATCCAAATTGATGGTTTGGTATAACTTCATGTAATTGAATTATGGGCAAAAGACGTTTTAAGAATAGTTTTCCGAGTACTTTTGACACAATAGATAGCAGGCTGATTGGACGATATGACCTCACATTCTCGCCTGGTTTACTTGGTTTAAGTATCATTTTGACCTCAGCAACTTTTCATTGAGCAGGGAAGATGCATTTTGTAATAGATGCATTAAATATATGCAATAGGAAGCTTATTCCCTCACTTGGTAATTCTTTAAGAATTTTTGCTGAGACAAGGTGCCTTGCGATCTTGCAAATTCGCGATTTCTGTAACTAGTTCATTTTTTGAAAACTTTATTATTGGAAAATCCATTCGGTGTATTTCATCCAGATATGTTGAAACCTTCTGCTCAGTGTATAGGTCATATATATTATTATGGGGAGTAAACACGTTTTGCAGGTAGAAGCTTTCACATCGGTAGTTTTGGCCCACGTATTATCTTGCTTTCGTAGTGGTTGATTAGTCGGTGAGTCGGCTTGGTGAGTCGGCTCTAAGCTTCGAGGACATGATTGCGTCGTTTGCTCATGGGAATAATGAAGAAGCGATTTAATCTCTTTTGTTATTTTATTTAGGCGACGTTTGTCATCTAGAAAACGTGTTCGTTGCCAGTTTTTTCTTGCCTTCCATTTTTCCCTAATCTTTCTGATAATAACCTGGCTATAGCGTACCTGTTTGCCATTGTATTGTTTATTGAGTGGAGTGGATTCCCATGCTGCATTTTGGACACATCGAGTAAAATATTCAACAGCTTCAATAATCTTTTCCTCATTCTTAGGTGGCATTTTGTTATTCAACATTGACGACAAAATGGTTTTAAAGTGAGTCCAGTTTGTACGTCTGTTACAAAGTTGGCATTTTTGGTTCCTAATCTGCAACTCCATACTTATAATAATAATAACTGGAGAATGATCAGACGAAAGATCTAAATTGCTTTTACATTCTATATGTTTTAGTGAGAGACCTTTAGCGACACAAAAGTCAATAAGGTCTGGAATTTTCTTTTGATCTGTTGGCCAATACGTAGGCTCTCCGGTAGAAAAGACGTTGAGTTTCTAAATACATTTCACGACCTTTTGTTGAAGTAAGGCATGAGCCCCAGAATTTATTCTTTGCGTTATAGTCTCCGCCTGCTATAAAGCGACTTCCTAAAGTTTTGAAAAACTTGATATAAGACTCCTTAAATTATGTTTTGGAGGGCAATATACTGCAGATACTAAGAGCGGGCCATCTGTAATTTCGACTATGGTATTCGTGGCTTGAAACTCTTTTTTTGGCCATATTCGTGAAGTCGGTTCTACAGATGGATGCATGTTTCTTAAAATGGCTTTTAAACTTCTTTCGTATTTTGGCTTAAATGTATAGAACTCAGTGTTTTTATTTTCCAATTGCTTTACAATTTTGGAAAATGTTTCTGAATTTTTTGGTTGAATTTTGACCCGATTTGAAGATATGACCTTAATATCGTATAGACCAGGAACAAATTCATGAAGTATCGCTATCAATGGGTGGATGTTATCAACTTTGTCAACAAATATAGGTGGTGGCTGGGTAATTTTTTCATTTTTTTTTTGGTCTGCATTACAATTGTTTTCATTTTCATCCACAGGAAGTATTTCAAAACGATTATCATTACTTAGCCAGTATGACTCTAACTTAAATATGAATTTTGATGTGAAATATGAAATTGATGTGAAATATAAAAATAAATAATAAAACAGACTTATTAAAAAAAATTAAAAATGTGTACTTTTATGCAAACATCATATTATACAGTGCTTGCCTTTTTAGCTCAGGTGTAAGTGCAGCAATATTATTGCTATCATACTGCGCTTCACTCATTTCGCTATTCTCACTTTCAAATTGTGAAAAATTGCGGTCTTCCAACAGAATATTATGCAACACACAACAAACGAGAATCCAAGAATTGAAGAATTTTTGGCTTTTCTTGTCTTTTATTTTAACTCTTATTTGTTTTAAACTGCAAAACTTTTCTTTAAGTATTCCGAAACAATTTTTAACTCTAACACGGTATTGGCTGTGTCTTTTATTGAATTTGTTTTGTTATTCAATATTCATTAAAGAAGAATTGGTGCGAAATGGCATTATCAAATGTTTAGTCAACTGATACGCAGAGTCACCTGAAATCCATTCTTCTCCAGTAAATAAGCACGCGCTGTTTGTTGCAATATGCGATTTCTTGAATATTTTAGAATCATGGTAGCTTCTTTGATTACCCACTAATGCGTGCATGATACGGAGCTTATGATCACACATAACTTGCAATTTAATGGAATATATTCGTTAACGAGAGAAGTATGCCTAATGGTGTAACGACACGGATTCGTGGTTTAATTTCGCTGAGGTATCACTCAGTCGCGGTCCGGGTCGTCACAATAAATTTGTTTATTGACTGTTTCGAAAGTCAGTAAAAGACCAGGAATACACTGTTTAGAGTAAAGACGCTGTTTATTTTAGTTTAAATAAATGACTTTTATTATACAATTTATGATATTAGGTACAAGTAAAACTTCTAGTCTATGGCATCAAAATGCCATGTGACGGTATAAATTATAATAATAATACAAGGCATCAAAATGCCATGTGGCGTTATAAACTCTAGTAGCACAATAGTTGTAGCTTATAACTATATGAAGATAAGATTCCTAGCTTATGGCATCAAAATACCATGTCGCGTTATAAACTCTATGAATATAAGATTCCTAGCTTATGGCATCATAATGCCATGTGGCGTTATAAACTCTAGTGGTACAAATTTATCTACTCACTTCGGTGTGCTGGCGCTAAGTATACTTTCATACAAAATTCTTGTTTATTTATATGCAATTATTCTTACTTTATTATTTGCACGCGCAACCGCACAAGTGTAATTCCGCGTGCGTAAACAAATAATGAATTTCTTTGCGAGGTAACGGCTGTGCCGTGAGTTTGGCTTGATTTGTGCTGGCTGTGCGTGTGGATGTTCGCTGCTCCGTTGATACTTGTTTGTGATTACAAAAAAAAACGCCTTTGTGTTTTTTTTGTAATCATAAATATATAAATAAATTCTATGCAGACGAAATTACTGCATTGTAAAATTTTATTATAATTGAGAGAATATTCTATAAATAACTTATACCTAGTCTAAATATACTAATTCATTTTTATATGTAAAATTATATTAATAAAATTCAATATATAACTTATACTAATAAAATCCACTTTTATATATAAAATTATATTCATCAATTAATATAAATACAATTTAATATATGTAACTTATACTAATCTAGATATAAAGTATGAGCAATGAGTTGCCTACGCTCAGTCGCACTAGGCCATCGAATGTATGCCGGTAATTTCCTTAAAATTGCTGAAAATACTCTCTGGGTAATTTTAGTCAGAGTGCTACCATTTTCCACTCCAAAAGTTGTCGCGACTTTTCGCACTGATGTACTTTCTCCTGAAGAGCCTAAATGGAATAGTACTATCGCGAGTTGTAGATCCACGGGCAGTTGCATATTAGATCCTGGAGCTTTGAATATTATATCATTTGCAAATATTTCAACAAGACGAGCAAGTTGACTCTTGTTGGCACGTAACATTTGCAAAAATCGTCCTTCGTCAAAACAACATAAAATATTATCCAGCCAATGAATGGATTTCGGCACACTTAGTTCATCCCCTTGTCGAAAAGATGTGATTGTTCTTACATCATCTAGTAGTTCATCCATTCTTTCACCAATGAGAGCATGCCATTGGTAGTAGTGTGCCATGTCTATTAATGGAAAAACTTTGATTTTTGCAACTATAAAGCTTTAAAACACATACCTTCGATAAGTACAAGATCTTTAATAGCTGCATTTATTTTCAAGTCTATAATTTGATTTTTTATACTCTTTTTAGGCATTTTGTGTACAATTGATTTTCAAATTTAAATTGAAGTTTCTTTGTACTGACGACAAAAACAAAGCACAGCTGATTGTAAAAAATAACCAGATAACCTTCGTAAAAGTCTGTTCACGGTGCGCATAGGTTATTTTTCATTATGGTAAAAATTGTAAAGTGTCATAACATTATTTGACAGAATACATATTTAATTTAAATTAAATAAACAAAAAAGATTTTATATATTTTTATTCAAATTATATTTTCCATATGCTATTTACCATCAAAATGTCAACAATTTTGCTTATTTCACTTAACTTCGGCATAATATTGACATTTATATCATAGTCAATTTTGTTTTCATAATAATTCACAAATTCATTAAAACCAGGGTTCATAAAAACACTGTGCTGTGCATAAAAATGCAAAGCACCACGCACAAATGTTGTGCGATTCTAAATAAAATTTCACACCACAAAAGTGGTGTGCGAAAATTTTTCTGCACATCTTAAGTGCACATCTTGTGTGCACAAACAAAACGCACATTTCACACGAATGTGGTGGAGTGAAATAAAACTCGCACACCAATTCGGTGTTTGTGCCGAAGTTATTTCGCACAGCACATTGTGTGTGATGCAGCCAGCTTGCCCTCGCACACAACGTGTGCAGAAAAGAATACGAGGCGCACATTTTGTGTGCAGACTTGAAAATAAAAATGCACCTAAATGTGCGGAGACGAAATGTCTACTGCACATTCGTGTGAAATGATGATTTAATATTACGATGAATAACGAAACAAAATAGTATGGAAGACTGATTTGCATTAGTTTTCGTCTTAAGGCGATATATTTTATTAAAAAAATGGTTTTCTATTTATATTTTAATTTTGAATTTATTATTAGATTTACATTTATTGCTAATATTACTTATTATTTTAAGGTTTATTAATTTAAAACATAGGAATAAAGTTAATTTCACAATGTACTTGTAAACTTTGTTATAATATAAAATTTAAATAGTTTATGATATATGAGTTAAATAGGTAAATGAATTTAATAGAGAAAGAGTATTTGTTTCGAAATGTTATAAGTAAAGAGGATCGGTTCTACGGATCTTATTTTGAAAATATTAAATATACCAATTTTGGACTACTTCATAAAATTTTATTTATCATTTATCTATTTGTGGCCCACCCGTATTATCTTTTTTAAACTGTTGCAAAACTTATTAAACAAATACACCAATACCAATACCTGCTACCTGTTCAAGAAAATATCCTAGTCTTTCGTGTTTTTTAATAAAAGTTAGATACTCTACCTATGTATTAGTAATTGGAAATATTTTTTGGGAATAAAAA